AGAACTAGACAAGGACTCAAACAAACTAGGAAACAAAAACTTCAAGGAACCAAAAGACACATGTCCAAGACGATGACGCCACAATTTCAATTGACTTAGTTTCTCATCATGACAAGATACAGACTGACCCATCAACCCTAACATTGGAGACTGATCAAGAAGATAAACTCCATCGGCTTCATGCCCATTGCCAATCATCTTCCCCGTACTTAGGTCCTGAAAGACACAATGAGATGGAAAGAAGGTTATAGAGCAATTATGAGACTTTGTAAGAGAACTATAGATAAGAGATTTCTATGCAATTGTGGAGCATGGAGTACAGAGTTCAAAGAAAGGCTATTGGTAAGTTTAACTTCACCCAAACCTGATATTGGGGTCTGGGATCCATCGGCAATGGTAATCATACCTTTCCCTGAAAAAAGTCTATAAGTGGTAAAGTAGGAAGGTGTACCAGTCATATGATCACTGGCTCCTGTGTCAATTATCCAAGAGCTAGAGGGTGGGACATGACATGCAAGTGCAGTACCTGATTTTGCAAAGGCACTAGAAGAAGCATTTGAACCAGTAGATGTAGGCAACCCATTCTTTTCAAGATGGAGTAAGATGCCTCTTAATTTTTCCATCACATCAGAGGTGTCATGAGTAGATGCCAGAGCAAGAAGGTTTCCTTCAAGCATGTGAGTCTGAGAATCGTGACTTGTAGTAGCAACATGAGCATTTACTTTCTTTCTAGTTTTAAACTTCTCAGGTTTCAAGTGGGGATTTAGTTTTCAGCATCTATCCTTGGTATGCTTCGTCTTCTTTTAGTATTCACAAAATACCTCTTAGGCTTTGTGGCCACAAGAGCAGTGTGCTCACCTACAGACACTTGCATCATAGCATTCCTCCTACTCTCTTCATTCTGTACAAGAGAATATGCTGTGGAGAGTGAACAATATCAGCACTAAGGATGTGTTGCCTAGTGAAGTCATAATCAACATTCAGCCCGACAAGAAAATTGAAAACTTGATTTTTTTCAATGTACTTCCTGTATTGTTCAGCATCAAGGGGATCTTTCCACTCCAAAGCCTCAAGATGATCAATTTCTTCCCAAATTGATTGTAAGGAGGAGAAATACATGGCCACTAATTTCTCCCCCTATCGCATATTACATGCTTCTCTTCGAAACTGATAGATTCTAGCAATGTTTTTCGCTTGAGAATAAGTTGCACTTAGTCTGTCCCAAATATCTTTAGCTATTGGAAGGAACATATAGTTACGGGCGATGTGTGGCTGCATAGAGCATATAAGCCATGACATCACCAACAGATTATCCTGCTCCCACTTGGAATTTGTGGATCTTCAGGCTTCGGCTTAGCTTCCTTACCAGTAATAAATCCGAGCTTACCTCTTCCACCAATTATAAGCTTGGCTGATTGAGACCATTCTAGAAAATTTGTCCCATCAAGTTTTACAGTAGTAATCTGTCCTCCGACATTGTCATTGCTTCCCGAGAGAACATAAGTAGGTACGCGGACGTCTTTGTGTGAGTCCATTGATCACAGCCCCTCCAAAAAAATTTCTCACCAGCACCACAGTCTTCCAACAACAACTGAACTCCCAAACACCTTTTCCACAAGGTCAGACACTAGTTACAGCAAAAAAACTAGGAAAAATAGGTATTGGCGGCAAAATTTGAGAAAAAAAAAATTCCCAAAATAAGTTTTAGGGCTCTAAAAAATTCAGGATTGCTTCCTACAGCCCCAGGGGTTTACCACGACTCAAACACAAGAGGTTTCAGCTGAAGGGATGAGAGATCCATCATATGGATGGCCGAACCCTACAGGTAGGTTGGGCGAAATTTCAAAAATTTCTCTCTTTCCCATGTGGGAATCACATTCCCTATTTTAGAAAACTACATTTTCAATGATCAATCTTGAACCCTAAACCAGACCAGATCTGAAACCAAAAGGTAGGAGAGGAATGTACCTGATACGGAGTAGCAATAACTCCCAACTAAGGTGTTCACGCCCAAGGAAAATGCCAAAGACTGCTCCCACTGAAGATGACACAGCGTAGGGTGGAGCAGAACCAGCAGGTGGTTCTTCAGCAAGAACCGAACTCTTCAGCAAGAATTCAATGGAGGGTGAGTGAGCACGACTTCAGATTAGTTTTTCACCAAAAACTGATATCAAGAACCTTTCTTGATCGCTCCTACAGGTGGAGATCGAACTGGCAATGACGGCAGCAATAGGAGAAGGCAAGAGCAGAAGATGGCGTCAATCTAACTGGAGTTGTTTTCTCTCTTGAATCTGTAATCTGATTGGGGTAAATTAGGGTTTGCCCTCCTCCTCTATTTATAGCCTTAAAGAGAGCTTCTCCTAATCCCATTAGGAGTTTCCTAATCCAAATCTTGTATTTGGATCTGGACTCTCTTTAAGAGATAAGGATAATCCCTTATCTTATCTGCAGATAAAGATCAGCCCTCATAATCTTATTAGGAGTTTCCTAATCCAAATCTTTATTTGGATCT